ACCATCGTGAGCAGCTTGCTTGCTTTCTTATGGCAGCAAATCAACTACCAGAACCGTCATAGGAGGAACTGCTCGGTAGTAAACAAATAAATTGAAACTCGTAAACCCGACCCAACCATCTTATCATTCTTGGATTAATGTTCCAATGAAAACCCCATTAAGCCGAGTGACCGATGACAAGAAGCACATACATCCAAAGCAACACCGTCCAACGATGGATGAAGAAGATCGGAGTGGTTGAAGCTCATGAAGATCAAAATTTCTTTTGTAGATCTACGGCTATCCACGGGGTTTTTCGACTAACGAAGGCTAGATTCTTGATGTGGAGACCAAGATGCTTTGGATGATAAAGTTTGGGCTTAGACCGACGATCAACGACGACGGCCAACGTGGTGGTTACCGGAGTTTGGTGGCTGGTCAACAAAGCTTCTCTACCTTCCTACAAAGTCTTTCGTTGGTAAAAAGTAAAAGGAAATGAAATGTTATATAAATGAGAAATGCAGGGAGATTTTGGCTTATAAATGGATACTTGCATATTAACCAAAACTACATAGTTTTGGAAATAGTTTGAGAGCTTGATATGAATGCATTTTAGAGATTTTGATGGTGGAACACAACTCTTGGCAAATGGTAAATTACAAGGTAAGCCATCCAAGTTGTTAAAAGCTCAACCTTGTCTCTTAGCTTTCATATTGTTATGATTATGGTGTAATGGTTTTATTAAGATCGAATTAATCCCTAATTTTATTAATTAAAAATTATATTGACTCTTAAAGTTTTTAGTTTTAACAATTGGGTCCCCAAATTATTAATTAGATTCTAATAAGTTTTTTTTATGGCGAGAAAAATTATTTGAAGTCGTATTTGTACGATAGATTGTTCGTGTTCGTTAGAAAAGATTGGAAGCTAGAAATCAAGTTGGTGAGCTGGAATTCAATAGTAATATTTTGGGTTTTGTTGACGTCCTGATTCTGATTCTGAAGTCTGTTTCGCCAAATTCGAACCCGGTAAGTTGTTTTTCACTGATTAATCACCCGATTCGATCCATTTTTTAGAATTAAGCTCCGTTTTTTGATGAAAATTATTTTGATATATATATATTTGAGGAATTATTGGAAGTTGAATTAAAGATCAAGGGCGTTCGAATATAATTTAATGGTCGATCAGTATTATACAAAAATCGAGGTAATACATTACTACCTTTTCATGCTTTATGGAACATATTGGGATTGGTAAATGCATGAATGAATATGTTTGGTCTCATTTGGGTATTTAATAAATTCATACACTCGATATGAATGTGGTAAAAAGTTGGTAACTAAATATGACTCGGATGACTAATATAAGAAATTAAGGGATTGTTAGAATTAAATTACAAGTTTTGTGATTTGTGATAAAGGAATCAGCCCTGGATATGACTTATATTTATATCATCAAAGGTTTAATGTTAAAGGTACTTGGATGAGGAATTATGAGAATACTCCGGTTTGGTAAAATTATGAAAATACCCTTACGTGCTAAAATGACAAGAATTGTCCCTAGAAGTTGATTAATAACTCTAAAAAGACATATTGATCTGATAAAACTACAAATGTGTATAAGAAATTATAGTTTTACTTAGAAAATATGGATAACTGATTTTTAACCCCAAGAGGGTTTATGCAAGTTACTAGAAGTCCGTTAAGGAATCATTTCAAGATCAAAGAATGTTCGGGAAAGCAATAAACCATAGGATCTCTAAATTATTATTATTTTCGTTAAGAATTAATATCGAAATTATCAATTTAAGAAATTACGAAAATGCCATTGAGAGGTAAAAATAATCTGAGTTAACCCTGAATGAGAAAGTACTTTAAGGATTAGTACTTAACTCGATAAATTATGGATTTAATTGTTCATATCCTGAATTTGTATAGAAAAATTCCAGATAACCTGTTGGTAACTTCTGAGAAGTCTATTGATCTGAAAATCTCTAAGTTAAGAATAAATTATCGAGGGTGCTCTTTTGTCAGAATTGTTCGAAAGGTCTGGAAAAGATGATACGTTTGAATTAAGTGATAAGGTCAGACTGAAGGAAAGAATTTAAATATCCTAAATCTGTAAAATGACTAAAATACCCCTAAAATGGAAATGACCCAAGAATATCACCAAGCTCAGGAATGATTGGATATTCTAGAGCTTTGAAATGAATGGAATAAAAACTAAGCACTAAATGACCAAAATACCCTTATGGCCTAGATTAAGTTGACGTTTTGGATTAATTAAGGAATTCAAATAAACATGGGTGTTGTACTACCCTTAAAAGTTATGGATCACAAATTAAGTGAGTTGATCAACCTTAATGATATGTCAGTACATGATCTGCACAGATATTACTTGACAAATCAACCACGAAGACCGAACTAAGAACTAAGAATATCCAAATTAAGAACTAAATAGAACTAAGAATTGGATATTTGTTTGACAAATCAACCACGAAGACCGAACTAAATAGAAGTACAATATGTATCTGAAATTTAAAGACGTCCAAATTAATCTGGAAAACTCTTAAGTAACTGGAATGGATTTGACTACCAAGTGAAATAAGTAACCTCGATGACTAAGAATTTAATAAGTGATTTGGATGAGTCTAGAAACATTAATGAACATACACGGTGTATTGTTCTTCTGGGTCATGAACTACAAATCAAGCACGTCAGCATTTCGTGATATTGTGGAAGCGTGAAAATGAAATAAAGATATTGAAAGATCTATTCAGCGATGATTCCGAAGATGATCTCTGGACAAGAATTTTTGGTATTAAAGAATAAATACCCTGGAAGGGTAATAGATTGACCAGTCGATTAGTATCAGTTATGGGAGTTGTTCAGCTCGAGTTGTTCGATATTCCAATAGATCGACACAAACCGTAAATGTAGTGAAGCTTCGTTTCTTCCTTATCAGCTCAACTTATATTCTGAATAACTGATGATCCCGTTAGTTATTGAACTATTCCTCTAGTGATTCTAAATTCCAACATTTTATCGGTAAACTGAAGATCCTTATTTCTCTGCATAATAAGATTATCCAGTATCTCTGAAGAATATCTGATAAAATATTCTGATCCTCTAGTGTGTTCCACATGTACTACATGACAGTTTTATATGTTTCAAATGAGTTTAACGAAAGTATTGATTTATTGGTTTATGAACCATGACAACAAGGTATGTGATCTCCGATTATGGTTTTCATCGAAAAGTATGAATTGTACATGATTTATGAAATAATGGAATTTACTGGTTTATGAATTATGGTTACCTGAAATGTATTATCTGGTTTCCTATTTTCACTGGAAAATATGAATTGTTTTTGTTTCCTGAATTAACGATAAAAACTAAATTCGTAAATATAAAACATGAAAGATACCAGATAAAATATTACATGAAATAAATCCAGAGCATCGAAAATCAAATACCAGTAACAACAGCAGAAAACGTCATAAAACGATAAATTCTTCCCCTCTAAAAGAAATTTTATCCTCTAAATTCATCAGAATCGGATAGAAAACTGAGATTAGGTCTATGATAGATCCTTAAGTGGACAAAACTAATTTGATAATATTAGAATATCTTGATAAACTCGGAGCAGAAACAGGGTCTTGGTGCCTTAATCCAAGGTCTTAGAGTCTTGTGTTACGAAACTCAGGTATATAAAGAGTGTTGTTAGAAATGTATATCATGAAACAAAATTAATAATAAATATACATACAGAAGTATTAGACTCAAATCGATCACTAGAACTTCGGGTAGCGTAAACAAGAGCAGGTTGTCAAGCCTGAGAAGCATTTGCTCCTATACTCTGCGATCGGGCTCTACTATCAACCCTAGAAACAGATCCGAAAGTCCTACCCTGACTATGACTCATATATGGAGTCTGAACAGAGGTTTGAGAATATATAGGAGGCTGAACAGGTGTCTGATCAACTGGAGCTGGAAATGGACAATTTCTCAAGAAATGCTTGCTAGATCCACAATGAAAACATGTACCCATCTTCTTATAACACTCTCCTCTGTGTTTATTTCCATAGAACTCACAACTCAATTTCGGAGTGAAATACGCACAATCCTCTCGACTAGCTACAGTATGTGGAGGAGATGCATGTCTCGAATCAGACCGACTAATCTGATGAAGAACAGTACGAGATCTTTTATCAGGGCATGAAAAAGGTGCAGACTGACCAGAAGGCTTCCTAGATCATTCTAAACCTACTCTATCATTGTCAGGTGCAAAAGCCTTGACTTTCTCTGCGTCTTTTGCTCTCCTAACTACAATATCAAATATCTCGTCCTGGTGAGTAACTACCTGGCGACGTAACTCGAATCGAAGTCCCTGAGCAAACTTTCGACATCTATCTCGCTCAGTAGGTACCAGACTGAATCCATACTTCAGCAATTTCAAGAACTCAATCTCGTACTCAGAAATGGTCATATCTCCCTGAACCAGGTCCTGAAACTGTTGTCGTCTCTGAGTTAAATAACGCTCTCCCAAGAAGCGGCTCCTAAAGCGCTCTCTAAAGAAATCACAAGTCAAACGACCGGTCTGAACACTACTAACCACTGACTCCCACCAGGTGTGAGCATTCCCATCAAACATAGAAATTGCTCCTAAATAACGTCCATGCAGATCTAAATCTAATTGATCCATGCATCGCTCAGTATCACTAAGAAAATCCTCGGCCTCAGTCGGATCTCCACCAGTAAGGCCACTAAACGTCCTGACTCCATTTGTAATAAGGGTCTGAGAGATAGGAACCTCGGGTACAACGCCAGCAGTTCTGACAGCTCTCTGAATTATCTGAAGAAATTGTCTTCAAAAATTCTCATATAATACAACTCTGGTAGACTCAGGCTCAGTACCAGTAGCTCCTCTTATTGGAGCAGTCATGCCAATACCAGAGACAGGAGGCAAATTCGTCAGGGTCGTAGGAACATGATCATCTATCGGTGGTGGGGGATCTACACGTATCTCATCTACCGGGTCTGCAAATCTAGCCACTTTGCCGTGACCACGGCTAGTTCGACGACCACGTCTACTACTCATCTTGGTGGATCTCGAGTTTACTACAAAAGATAAAACCTAGAACTAGATAGGCACTTGGTGTCTCGAACACAATTAAAATCGTAAAAAAACTTTGTGACATGACTTTACTGACTTATTTTGTAAAACATTTCAAACCCGTATTTTTAGTTTGGACTCATTCACAGTCTGAGGTTTAAAAACCAAAAGCTCTTATACGAATAAATGTAACCCCCTAGACCCGGCCTATACGTTTCGGCTAAGTCTAGCGGATTACATTAAAAATTCTTAAAGACATTTTTCCAAAAACATTATTCGATAATTTAAAATCATGTTACAAATGATCTTTATATAAAAGTATATTATAATTAACAATAAAAACTAAATTTATAAATATAAAACATAATAGATACCAGGTAAAATATTACATAAAATAAATCCAGAGCATCGAAAATCAAATACCAGTAACAACAGCAGAAAACGTCATAAAACGATAAATACTTCAAAATTAAGGTGCATGTCACCATAATTAAAAACAGTTCAGAAAACAAAATATTACAACCAAATACTTTGAACTAAATGTATCAATCCTCCAGGTGCCTGATACGGAGTGTCTATCCGAATGTATCTAAAAGGGGTAAAACAATTTGAAAAGTGAGCTAGATGCTCAGTGTGTCCCAATAGTGTAGAAATAAAAACATACAGTTATGATTTTCAAAACCAGTACAGATCACAATCATTAAAACATCATTGGAGTTTTTAATTTAAAATACTCTGCATCGTCCTCCAACCGAACGCGATGTGCAGATCCCCAAAAATTCACAACCTAAGGGAGTACCTTGGGGCCTGCGAGCCTACCCAAGATAATTCCCGGGGCCACAAAGGCTTACCCAAGAAAATCTCAGGGCCGCAGAGCCTACCCAAGGCTCGACTTAGGTCCATAAGGAATTACCAACCGACGCTGAACCTATCAGAGGAATTACCAACAACGATTGAACCTGCCAGAGTCTTCATACCAGAACCTAGAGTACCCCGTAGAAAACATTTTTCAGACGGTAACCAGTAGTAACAGTAATTCAGAGTTCAAACAGATTATCAGTTCAGTAATCCAGTGTTCAGAAATCAGAAATCGGGCAACCATGCTTTTCATTTCAGTAAATCTAGAATCAGATAAATCATTCAGTAGACAAATCAGATCAAACATTATATTTTAAATCATATAAAACAATCATGTGCACATAAGATTTCAAATAGATATTTAAAATGTTTATTATGCACATAAGGAACACACCTCGATAATAGGGTCAGTCTGAAAGATCTATCGAGCACCAGCTTCATTAGGCTCTTCAATTGAACGGGAACCTAAGCCATATCAGAACATGGTTATATTCGGAACAATATTCTAAACAGAATAACTAACAGGGTTTTAGAAATATACGAGTATTCACGGTTTCTCGTAGACGAACGGATCGGGAGGAACCGGGTCGAGTAGTGAAACAGTCTGGAGATCTCCGAGTACCTTTAACATAACTATAATTAGTTCTTCACCATTCCGTTCAACTAACTAAATTAAAACACTTAGATAAATATGAATTTTTCAGGTTTACGGGATAATTCGGAGGCTTTTGAGTCTAAATTTGACCAAACCGATTGCGAAATCGGAATCAGGACATCGAAAAACATAAAATATGACTTTTCAAAAATTCGAATTCTTGGTCAAGGTCAAAGTCAATGGGTTTGACTAATAATTTAGAGGCCTTCTGGTTTGAATTTGGCAAAACGAACTTCAGACACTGATTCGGCACATCGAAAAATGTCGGGATAGGTATCATCGAAAAAAATCAAAGGTCGTTTAATGGTCGGTTAACGTCAGTCAAAGTTGTGGTCAAAGGTGTTCAAATAGTCCAAAGTCAAATATTACAAAAATATCACCTTTTTTAAATAATTACCAAAATATCACTGTTTTAAAAATAATTACCAAAATATCATTGTTGTAAAAATAATTCCCAAAATATCACCGTTTTAAAAATAATTCCCAAAATAACATTTTAAAAATAATTATGAAAATAAAATCTTTTAAAAATAATTACAAAAATAGCACCTTTTAAAAATAATTAGGAAAATAGTGCCCTTTTAAAAATAATTATGAAAATAACACTTACCGAAATCAATTACAAAACTAACATCATTTTAAACATATTTACGAAACTAGCACACTTTTAAAAATATTCCTAGAATAACACCATAACCAAAATTAATTACGTATTTATCACCCATCTAAACCAACACCAACTATAATATGTTTTCAATCTAAACACCGAAATATTATCCAAATTAAACGATCTGACTTTACCTACGGTGGATGGACGAAACAAGACGATTGTTGGAATGGCCGGAATCTACAAAACTTAAAACGACGATCGGGGTTTTAAGTGTCAATTTCCCTTCTCGATTCAGCCTATTTGTGATCGATTTAGGAACCGGGTTAGTCGAGGTTGGACCGATGGTCGCTGTTTGAGATTGAAGGACACGACGGTGCACCACACCACCGATCGGAGGAGAAAGGTCGAATGATATCGAGAGTGAGGTTAATGAAAAATTTTAGTTTTGATTCACTGCACAGGTAGGGGGTTTTGTAGGAAAATGGTTATCACCCAGAATATAAAATAACTCCACCTTTTATTGTTTCCAATAAAAAAAAACAAAGTATAGCACAGTGGTAATGCCATTGTCTCCCACTTCATTTTATTTTATTCTTAGTGCTAATATTTTATTTATAGTGCTAATTATTTATTTATAGTGATATAGGATATTTTTATTTTTTATATAATAATTCAATTTACGGGGTGTGACAGTTGGTTGGAGGGAATAATATGATATTTTATAAACGTTTTATGGGAGGGTGTTGTTGGAGGAAGTTATCGTTACTGCAGGCTCCTCTGCTTTGTGCTTAGGGTAAGTCCTTACTTGTTGTGTTGGTGGGTGTATGGTTCTGGGGAACCTACACATTATGGAGAGTTTGGTTGGAGGGATTAATATGGGTTTTGAATAAAAATATGTTTTTAAACTACTACGGTTTAAAAAGAAAAAGATTTGTATCTCTTTACTGGTTTTATGGGAACACACTAGATAACCTATTCTGATCTCCTGAACCTAGACATCCGAAATATTTCCATATGAATTGAAAACTCATTATTCGTTACTATCTGAAATATCAGTAGAATCTCTGATCTGCATGGAAATTTATAGATGTTCAGAACCAATAATAAAATATATGTTTATCTGTATCTGCACGTTCTTTAGCATCACCTAATAGTTCTGTATTACTGAGCTTTCCGAAGCTCACTCTATTACTCAACATTTCAGGTTAAAAGAATTGTACCAGTGCAGCTATCGACTTCAGTAAGGGAGTTTTTCCGGCATTGTTTGCAGAGTATGGTACATGTGATTAGGGGCATGTAATTGTATTTTGTTTTTATATACGAGTAAACAATAAAAATATGTTTTAGTTCTGTATACTGATAAATCATTTTATAAGTACACGTTTTATTAAAAGTTTTAAATTTTTCGCTATTTTTACAGTGGGTCACTCCGGTGGCCCTAATGTGACACTCCAGATCAGATTGGGTTATCCGCATCGGTTTGAGGGGGTTACAATAAATAAGTATGGGTCAATTTCAAATACAAATATAATTTGAATGACTAAATTGCACAAATATGAAATTACAAATTAAAATTTAAATAAAATAAAAAACATAAAATAATCAAATCAAAAAATTGTAAAATGTGAGGAAAATTGTAAAATGGACTGAATTTCATTAATTTCAAAAGTTGGGGAAAAATTAAAATAATTATAATATATATAATATGTATAATGAATGTTATGATAATACGATGCATGTATATATAATGTACATTATACTTTATATATATATACACATATATATATATATATATCTATACTTATACTTTATAGTTTATATATGTATATAAAGTACCAAATTGAACAAACATGAAATTGGAAATAAAAATTTGAATAAATTAAGCAACTCGCATCGATGAGGGATGAAATTGAATTTATTATAAAATGTGAAGCTGATATTAATATAAAAATGGACTAAATTGCATACATTTAAAAGGTTGGTGAACATAATTAGAAAAGAAATTTATTATGTGATTTACATTTTATAGGGTTTATTTTAAGTGAATTAAAAAATATGAATAACTATGGGTCAATTTCAGATGCAAATATAATTTGAAGGACTAAATTGAACAAATATGAACTTACAAATTAAAATTTAAATACATTAAATGACATAAAAGGATCAAATCAAAAAATTGTAAAATGTGAGGAAATTTTGTAAAATGGACTGAATTGCATTAATTCCAAAAGTTGGGGAAAATTAAAACAATTATAATATATATATATATTATGTATAATGAATTTTATGATAATATGATGCATGTATATATAATGCACATTATACTTTATATATATACATATATACTTATCTTTATAATTTATATATGTATATAAAGTACTAAATTGAACAAACATGAAATTGGAAATAAAAAATTGAATAAATTAAGCAACACACATTGATGAGGGATGAAATTGAAATTATAAAACGTGAAGTTGATATTAATATAAAAATGGCCTAAATTGCATACATTTAAAAACCTGGTGAACAAAACTTGAAAAGAAAATTATTATGTGATTTACATTTTATAGGGTTTAACTAAATTAAAAAAATATAAATAAGTATGGGTCAATTTCAGAAACAAATATAATTTGAAGGACTAAATTGAAAAAAATATGAGATTGGAAATTAAAGTTTAAATACAATAAACAACATAAAAGGTTCAAATAAAAAAATTATAAAATGTGAGGAAAAATTGTAAAATGGATTGATTTGCATTAATTTCAAAAGTTGAGGAAAATTAAAACA